CTCTAATAAATTTTCACATTACACACTAGCAGGTTCAGCGATGTTCACAACAATATATTTATAGAATCACCAAAGATTAAAGGATTTCACAACATGCACACTTTCATTTCAACACACTCTCAGCATTCTTTCAGCCTTTAAATCACTGTTAAATTGCAAAGTTCTTTGAAATGCCAAAAATACTTATATTACAAAGACATCTTATAATTTTACAACAAACAGACGGATCCCTGACATACTCAACACAAGAACCAAACCAATTTTGACAAATTTAACAAGCGTCCAACGCTAGGGCCAACCTTTTTGTGATCAATTAACCAGTATCAGTTCCAAACTGTGCCTGGCCCAATTTCTAAACACCCTATTTGAATTTTTAAAAGCGTCCAACGCCCGAGGTCCAACCTCTGCTGCCCAAAAAAGTGCAGATACCATTCTAAACAGCAAAGTGATCCAATCACTGGCTATTTTAAACCAAGGCCCCAAGTCTTGGCAGGTGCCACCTGGAGTAATCATCCTAGAGGGTCTTTTTACACGTCTGTAAAAAGCGGGAGGTCTCCACCTCTGAGCTTGTGCACTTCTTAGAAGTCCCAGACTTCCATTCTACAGTAATTTTATTATACTTTGAAACAACAACCAAAAGTCCACCAGAACTATTTGACCGATGCAGGTCCAACCTTATGATCAATAGGGACGCAAACCCATAAAAATTTATTAATTTAAATTTATTAATTTCCAGAGCTATCACTGACTCCACACACCAAGTTTCACCACGATCATACCAAAATTCACAGAATGAGCTGTAAAAAAAGACCACAAAAACACATTGCGGCGCAAATGCGCTAAGACAGGGATTGGTCCAGCTTTCCTCCGTTATTTTCGCCAGTAGCCACATGATTACCAGTAGTTACCTACCTAGCGCATCAGAGCAGTTTTCCGTCAACAACCTCCATTTTAGACTCACCTACAGACACGTGACTGGACAGATGCCACATGCAGCAAATTTGGGCCCACGTGGATTTTGGCATTGCAATGTCTGATTGGTTGAAGTGACGTGAACGTGGCATCATTACTTTGATTCTGTTGGCTAAAACGATTAAAAAGGGGTGTCAATCATGCAAATTGACCAAAAGAAACCAAAGTTACAGCCCTCGGAGTTTAAAGGGCCAGAGACCAATTAAACGCTTCCTAGGCACTGCAGAAAAGGGCCATTACCATGTAAATGTGTGGTTAATTCTTCAAAAATATATTTTAAAAAAGAGCATTTTTAGGCCTGTTAATAAAATTTATTAATTTTTGCTCTTTAACACCTAAAAAATTCAACTGGCATGGTGTCCAATTATGTGCCAAAATTGGACATTTTTGTACAACGTCTGGATATTCATGTATTGACAGGGCTGTAATTTTTCACTGTTTCACTTTAGAAACATAAATCTTTGCACAGATGATGTTTATATGTTGGTTACTGAAATCCTGGAACCAAATGTGATCTCAGGCATATTTTTAAAAGGTTTATATGCTAAAAATTAAAAAAAAATATTAGGCAAGGATAAAATATACTTACATTTTCTATGTTCCAGTCTCAGTAACTTTGACACAGTAATATCTGCTTCAATATTTACACCTCTGATGAAATCTCACAAGTGTTAGCTTTATTTTGATACCAAGGTTGTATGGACACAGTTTGTAATTGCAGAGAAATAATCAATTAAATTTGGGCATTACATTTTCGAGCAGGAAGCTCAGAAACCCCCTTGGGGCTTAAGAGGTTAAAAATATATATTTAAATACCAACAGTTGTTTCAAGATGGGCATGATAAACTCACTCATCAGGAAGGTATTTTTGGTTAGCAGCAATGTATGACACTACCTGGCATCAAAACCTTGGAGAAAAGACGGGAACACTAAGCTGTAGAACTTTTTTTTTTAAATAATTAATCCATCGGCATAAAAACTGTTCGCTTCACGAGGTACAACAACTTACAACAACTTATTTCCTTCCCCCTCACATTTCATGATTTGGTTTGGTCCACAAGCTGACACTGAGCCCTCTGCGAGAGGTAGGTGGAAATTAATTAAACTCATAGTGAAAGAAACTGCTCGATTTTCCTAGTATTAGTTAGCTTACTTCATTTCTAACAGAAGATGTGTTTGTATTTTTTTAAGCCAATTTGTAATTTGTCCATGTACACCCTGTACATATGAACACTAAATAACCGATCTGCCGACCTGGTGCTTCTTCCTCAGGCTTAGCTGTCCAACTCTCCAGTTTGTGTGTGAATGGGTGGATGACTGGATATGTAAAGAGCTTTGGGGTCCTTAGGGACTGGTAAAGCGCTATACGAATACAGGCCATTTACCATTTTTAGTTAACATACTTGTTTTGATTTAACCATATCAAATATGTATTATGTAATAGGCAAACATGTACTACCCTGGATTTGTTTATGTTTTGTACTTTTACAGATTATATAACATAACATCTTGGTTTAAATCAATTCTGACAAGTTTGTTAAGTTACTGTGTTATTTATTTCAACAGTTAATCTGTATAGTTTGAATTCACCTTACCTACCTGCCTCCCAGGAACAAAAAGAGGAAATGTAGTTTCACTTCCCATATTTATAGCTTCCTGGTTAATCTGAGGTCACAGGACGAGACCAGGTGAACAAGGGGGAGAATCCTTGTAATTTAACAAAGCTGATTTTAGAGTGTTTATGAAGAAATGAATGTATCGTTGTAATATGTATTGATTACACAGCATAGCTTTTATTGCTTAGAAGGAGTAGCAGTATAGAATTGAGTAGGGAAATGTTTGCCTTACCTACCTAATGGAATAGTCCAGGGGTGAGATTGTTTGGTTAAGTGGACTATTTAAGCAGACGAATGCAGGTGTTTGAGGAGAAAGGAGCAGGTCAGTGTAGCTGAATGCATGTGAGCTTATTTGCTGTTGATTTAAGTTCAGTTATGTTTATTTGAACTGAGTTAACTATGGAGTTGAGTTTCTTATTTATTTTTGTCAATATTGTTTGGTCACAAAAATGGTAAATAAATCGCTCACTACACTGGACAGGATCTGTCTCCTGCCCTTCTTTAGCCACTTAGGTCAAGTTCTACCACAGGGTCCCTTGATTTTGTAAAGGAGCGTCTAGTATGGGTTGTCTACAGAAAACTGAAGGGGGGATTCAAAATGGAAGTTAAAGTGAATCTTATTGATATTTGGTGCTGCAAAAGAACTCAATAAGTCAAACAATATCAGGTCATATTCCATTTTCTTAAACTAACTTGTTTAATAGGATTTAAGTTTTTTCTTTCTTTTTTCGAGGACACTCTTTAGCTCTATAATGTTGTGGTTTACATGTTTTGTAAAAAAGTTAACTTTTGTGTAAAAATCTGCCAAATCAATTATATGGTGAACTTGCAAATAAAGAAATGGGTATCTTGATGCATGCTCAATCATCCAGGTAAGTATATCCCAAAAGGTTGATTCTGTTGATCTGGACGTAGTGCTTTCAGTGGGAGAATCGTCACTCATCCAAGTGACTTCTTTAGTCTCAGCTGACTGCAGGTTTCCCCAACCTTATAAACAGTACATTTGCACAATGACTGAAACTAGTCCACTGAATGAACAATAAGCTGTGAGGTCAGTTCCTTGATCATTAATATGCAAATTGTCATGACCATTGATCAACTAGCACTAATCAAAGCCCATTGATTAATGACCATTCAGTGGGCTGTGCTGGCCAAATGAGTGCCAGTGATACATTGGGCAATTTTTTTTACCATCTGGTTTAGTGTTATTTAACCATCTGTGGTAAAATTGTTGTACTACACTGATATGCCGTTGGTGAGAATGCTCTCAATAGTACAGTGGTTGACATTGACTAGTATCCTGGGACACAGGTGAGCTTTCTTAAGGCCTTTTTTTTTTTTTTAAATGGGAAAACAATCAGGCAGGATTGAGTTATTACATAAAATGAACCTGGAGTTTGGGTCTTTACATCTGTCAAGAATGTTTCAGTAAAGACACCTGTAGAGGTTAAGCCTACGCTTGAAGCCACTGAGGTGTTTGTTATCACTTCCTGTTCCTGCTCAAACACAGTGGTGTTTCTGAGGAGCTTATTTGCTTAGCAAATTAAAAACTTTTAAATACATTCTTTTTTCATAGTACAATCTTCTCGTGCTTCATCCGAAGCACACTTTCTGTTAGGCTTCCGGGGATTCCCATGATGCATTGAGTTTTTCCTTTCCAGTCACCTTTCTCACTCACTATGTGTTAACTAGACCTCTCTGCATTGAATCATATCTGTTATTAACCTCTGTCTCTCTTCCACAGCATGTCTTTATCCTGTCTTCCTTCTCTCACCCCAACCGGTCGCAGCAGATGGCCCCGCCCCTCCCTGAGCCTGGTTCTGCCGGAGGTTTCTTCCTGTTAAAAGGGAGTTTTTCCTTCCCACTGTCGCCAAAGTGCTTGCTCATAGGGGGTCATATGATTGTTGGGTTTTCTCTGTATCTACTGTACAATATAAAGCGCCTTGAGGCGACTTTTGTTGTGATTTGGCGCTATATAAATAAAATTGAATTGAATTAACGGGGGGTGACGCGATGTCACTGGTATGCATGAATTAATTAAACAGTCCAATAACTCCAGCAGTACTTATCTTGTCCTTTTGGTCTTTATTCCAACATCATTTTAACATAACAGCGCAGCGGTCACAAACTGTGTGCCTTCTTACGATTAACAACACACCTGATGCTGATTACGTGCATCTACCTTAAATACCTTTACATGAACCAACCATACGAAAACAAAAAAAGGTGACCTTTAGCGGCAACATAAGGTATTAACCCAAAAATGGCTCCTACAACATCAAAGTGGCTACTTAAATGAAATATAAAGTTTGAAAACAGGTTTGTTGATGTTCCACAAACATCGCAGAAAGCAAATTTCTAAGGAATCTTTACATTTCTCTTTGTAATTGTGATTCTACACCTTCTCCTCAGGTTGGAAATTAGCTTCATCTGCGCTGGCTGGATGGATGCAGCAACATCTCTCAAAAAGAAGCTGGCTATCCTCTTGATTGTTGCATTAATCTTCATTCTTCTATTCAATGTGAATTTGCCAAACAACAACAACAAATCCATCCCAAAACCATCTGGGCCTGCGGGTGTTTGCTCCTTGGGAGTATCTGAGCAGACCATCACCCCGCTCAAAAATACCAAGCACTTACTGGTGTCAGCATACGTGGACCAGAGAGTGAAGGATTTGGATATACGCATCATAGGCATATTTAAGAGAGACTCCATACAGCCCCTTCACTGTGTTTTTTGCTGCACAAATGTTTTAAGTAAAACCACTCCAGCAACAATTTTACAACATTCTGATCACTTTGGTTTTCCCTTCGCCACTACGGACGTCATGTGTCAGATTCCTCAGAACTGCAACGCTACACGTGTCACTCTCTTGACTACACCAGACAAAGAAAGTGCATCTGACTCTACCTGGCTTCCTATAAGAAACCAAAAGAGCGACAGGCAAAAGGAAGAAAACATGAAGTTTGACTTCACAGTCTGCATCTCTAATCTGTTTGGCGACTACAACAATGTGCTTCAGTTTGCAGAGACTCTGGAAATGTACAGGTGAGTACAGTAACAGCACTACAAGCTACAGAGTGAAACCTATGCAGCAAAACCTCTGTGTAACGGTTGCTGTTAATTGTAAAGCTCCTGGATTTCTTCAGTGGTGTTTCTACTTCTGTATTCAAGAGCGGAGGATAAGGTTGGCTCGCTGATTTTCAGAGTCTTTGACATTCTCACCAAAGTGAATATTTCCAGTATTAGAAGTTTTGAAATGTAGCAGGTGCTGATAGATATTTAAATGTGCATCTGCACATGTAAGTGTGGAGCATAGACTGTATAAAAATGATGGAGTTTTCCCCACCCATGTTTTTTTTTTTCTTTTTCTGCTGCCAGCATTAATCTCGTTAAAATGACGTTAACGCCATACCTACATTAATGGGGCAAATCTCCATTAGCCAGTTAACGCGGCTCACCTCGTGCGTGGGGCTGCATGGTGTCAACATGTTAGCATGGTTAGCTTGTTAACACGTTAGCGCTGTCCAGGCTCTCCTGACTAATGGAGATTTGCCCCATTAATGTGGGTATGGCGTTAACGTCATTTTAACGAGATTAACGCTGACAGCACAACTTTCTTTATTTTTGTTTTGTTTTTTGTTTGTCTTTTTTATCCAAATGTGGCCACATTTGACTGAGGCCACACAAAACATCCTAACCCCTAAATCTACCAGTATCTAAACCATCCATAAAGGAGGGCTTAGATACTGTATCATGTATCAGGATATAGACTTCCTTATAATGTTGTGTAAATGTTTTCCTTTAGAAGCTGGCCCCTAAACCTAACTAGCCTTTCTGTGGCTTTAAAGTCAAATGTTGTCTCAAACAAAAAATCTCTGCATTTCCAGTTATTTGTTATATGTATACTTCTTAACTCCCCTGTGTGATATGAATGCATTTTTGTAAGCTAAATGCAATAAATAACAAAGGCATGAGTAAACTAATGAAAGGCTTTAAACCTGTTACTTTGCCCCAGGTTGCTGGGTGTGAACAGAGTGGTGATCTATAACACCAGCTGTGGTCCAGAGCTCGACCGCCTGTTGCAGAATTATAGCCAGGAGGGCTTTGTGGAAATGGTTCCTTGGCCCATTGACAAGCATCTGAATCCATCTCGTGGCTGGCTTCACTCAGAGCACGGAGGAGACGTGCACTACTTTGGCCAGCTGACCACACTTAATGAGTGCATTTACAGATCAATGGAGCGTTCCCGCTACGTCCTGTTGAATGACATTGATGAGATTATAATGCCATACCAGCACGATGACCTGATGTCTTTGATGAACACGCTCCAAAATCAGAATCCAAATGTAACATTTTTTTCTAAGCATTTCTAAATTTATTTTCAAATGTCTTTCCTGCACCTGTGAAACCTAAACCGTTCTTCTACAGACAGGAATATTTCTCATTGAGAACCATACCTATCCCAAGAAGCCTTTTAATCAAAGTAAATGGGGACCCCTGCCTCAATGGAATGGGGTGCCAGGCTTTGATATTTTGGTGCATATCTACAGAGAGGAGCCTAACAGAAATATTTACCATCCACACAAGTTAATAGTTCAGCCAAGGTGGGTTATAATGGGAAAAATGGTTGAGTGTTCGGCACTAGCATTCATTTAACCCTGAGGCATTGTGTGATTGTCCATGTATTTATGCACCTACAGAGCAGTGCAGCAGACCTCAGTGCATGATGTGCTTATGATGTCTGCAACAAAGTTCAAGGTTCCACCAGACGTCTGTCGGATCATTCACTCGCCAATCAGGACTCCGACCGATCCACCACTTGATCGGCTTCATGTGGACACTCGACTGTGGGACTTTAAAGACAAACTGCTCCCCAATGTGATCAAGGTGCTGCAGAGAGCAGAACTGCTGACATCAGAGACACAAAACTGATAGATGATGGACAGAAACACAAATACTGAAGTTTTAGGAGAAAAAAACTGGTCAACAAAACACAGGCTGACCTACAGGGGTGGCATATGACAGCCTGAAATAATGTCTTTCCATCCCAAGTCCACTCTATTTTTGCTTATCACAATGCTGCATATTAAAATTAGCCAGCATTAACACTCTGAGTCTGGCTACAAGTAACATTAAATATCAATATAAATATAAAGCAAACGGTTTTATTTCTTGTTGTCAGTAGCGACCAATGCTTATGATTGTGCCAGAGCACACAATCATAAGCATTTTCAACACATTGGCTATTTTCCGATTTCAACACAGGTGGTTGATTGCTCCACTCTAGAACTGGAATGAAGGCGAGTGTTATTAACCCTCTGGGTGGACGGACAGCCACACCTTCAAATCACATGACCAATTTAAGCTGACATAGCTACAAGCTGCAGTCATGCATCTTCTAGCATCAGGGTCTCTATTTCAGCTTGTGTTGAAAGTCCAGACTTCAAACTATATGTCAGTTTTTACATTTTATTGATAAGCCACTAACACCGGAGTTATGATAAGAAAAAAAATTAATTAAATTTAAAAAAAAAAGAATACTATCGTCACGTTTTGTGTGAAAAGAAACGGTAACAACGGCATTTGGACAGCGCAAAAAAGGGGGGGAAAATGCCACCCTTTCCTGTTGGTGGAATAGTGTACCATGTCCACCGATAAAAATGATATGACAACACGTGGGATTTGGTGATTTAGGAACAGGGAAAATTTGGGGGAGTGGCGGTGGCTAAAGAGAGCAATATCGACTAATTTTAGGTTTTAGTTTTAGTTTTTAGTATTCGTAGTGGTTGCAATTTTAGGTAAATGGTTGTATTAACTTAATTGCTTCCAAAGTTTGTACACAGGTTTTCAAAATTTACACTTTATATTTGCATTTCAGGTTATGAAAATAATTCACTAAACGTGTTTGTGGTTTTTACAGTAAACTTTTTCCGTACTCGGTTTTTATCAGGGTTTTGTGTGTGTGTGTGTGTGATTTCAGATTTCAGATATTTTATAGATATATGTTTTATATCTATTTTAACCACATATAATGCATATTACAGGATGTAAGAACTGGATATGCGTAGGGTAGCCACCCTAAGAAAATTTCTCTTGTCCACCCCACAACAAAATAGTCATTATGATGTGAGAGCAGTGAGAAACATGAAACATGAGACAGGCCAGGTGCACCACCTTTAAACATGTACACTTTAAATAATTTACATAAGTTGTGATAGAAGAGGCCCTGGGGTGCCATAAGAAGCTAACTTCCTGAAAGACAGGTTACAAACATGCTTGGATTGTTTAATTAAGAACTTCTGTTGTCAAACTCATGGTAAACTTCCTCGTTATACTAGTCGCAGATCGGTTTCTTATGACATTCTTTTCATTCTTATATCACTGTTCTTTGCTTCATGCACTGTACTGACTTATCAGGATAAATAAGATTTTGTCGCCACAATGCAAAAAGTTGAATAACATTTTGTAATCATTTCCTTGTTAGTCGGCAGAGAGTGATAGTGGGGAAACTCAAAAATAGAGCAAAAGCATCTAGTGAATTTTGTGGCCACAGTAGTGTGTGTGAGATTGCTGAGACATGGAGATGCCTTCCAGAGAAAAGCAAGCTTGCTTGTCAAGCATCAGAAACTACAAAGACATGATGAAAATAAATGCATGCAGAGGATAAGCACACACCAGGGATCGCAAGAAAAAAAATGGGAACAAGAACATCACGACAGGCACAAGCTTGACTAATGCAGTAAAGTAATGCATGCGATAAAAAGGACGTTGAATGCCACTTCCTGACTGGTTTCACAGCCGTAGACTTTCAAATTGCATTCTTCTTGTACAAACAACAAACTGGGTTAAATGCTAACATCATGACATCTTGTAGTCAGTTAAAAAACAGTTGTTGGGTTTGTTTGTTTGTTTTTTAAAGGTTGCCTTAGATTGTGACATACAGATATAAATCTTTCACACACACATACACACACACACATACAACTTGCTGCTGATTTTAGCATTTAGCTCCAAGCACTGCTGGGTTTGTAAGTACAGCCCCACAGAGGAGCTGGCATGGTTATTGTCTGTTGAGCTGTGGCTAAGTGTGGTTTAAAATAATGCAAGTAGAACTAACCATGAACTTAGTGACTTCAGATTTTTTTTGTGGTCATGCTCATTCACTGAAATGACCCGTTTTTATCTTAAAATGTGGCTGTGATAAAGAGTTATCCCTTATGATGAAAGAACAGCCAATGATGGGGAGAATTGTTGTTTTTTTGATTGGTTGTCACAGATTTTGAGATATGGATACAAAACTTAGATAAAAGAAACCACTTGATGCAAAAGAAAATTATGAACCCAACACTGACATGTTACCTCTTACACTCATGTGACAACTGTAGCAGTTTACAAAAAGAGATGACTGGTGCTTTTCAGTGTAGCTGGAAGAAGTACAAAAAAAACAAAGTCCAGGAAATCTTGCTAAATATTCTGAGTAAGTACAAACGCAGAAAACACCTGAGACACCGTGGGCTCTCTCCGGTTTCTAGAGCTTCCTGCCACAGTCCAAAGACATTAGCCTACCACAGCGGTGCAGGCCTCGCCCTACGACAGCGGGTATAGGCTCCAGCACACCTGCAACCCTGATAAGGATAAGCGGAAGAAAATGGATGGATGGTACTGTTTACATTTCCTCTGCTATGTGATAGTCACTTTGATAACTAATTAACCCGGGGGGGGGGTTGCCTTATAAAGAACTATTAAAGCAACATTAAGAAAAAAAATGATCGACGATCTAGAGATTAAAGTCGTAATTCTATTCTGAGAAAAACGGTCGAAATGAGCATTCTGAGTTTGTGGAATCGTACCTCAGAGTCAGTTTTAGCAAAAAGGACAGGAAAGTCTTTCTCTTTCAGCCCATAAACACAGTGTGGTAATGGTGCAGAACGCTCTAACTGGCCAGAGAAAAACACACAAATGTGGAAGTGGATTTGCACAAAAGGAAATAGCCTGTATCTGACAGGTTTCGACTTTTTTTTTCGAAATAAGTTTTAGACTTTATTCTCAAAATGATCAGCAATATGTTTTCTTAATGTGCCCCTAATACTACGTCGCAGTTAGCTGTGTGTAGTTGGCATTGCGCGATAAAGCTTAGACCACGATCAGAGGCAAGTGCGTCTATAGTGCACAACGCAAAACAAAAAAAAGCCCAGTTCTCCCCAACGTTTTGTGCGATTTTGCGAACTCCTTTTTCCCACTGACTCGTTTTTTCCCCCCTTGATGATTTCCGGTAATAATTCTGACGTATGACTTGGTCACGCCCGGATAGAGCAGGAGAGAAGAAGACTCCGAGTGCACTTGCAGACCTACGGATTCAAAGCTCTTTCTCGACTGGTGGGCACAACCGGGGGAACATACTGACTACAGTTCAGCCTCGAGTGAGTTACCTGCTGAATGGTGAATAGTGGCTTTAAGTTGATGTTTAAGTTAATACAAATATTCTAATTCGACCGCTCAGAGTATTTATCTTCTACTCCGATTTCGATGTAACTTAAATAGCGTTTTCTTGTGTCCTAAAGTTTATAGCATACACCGATTAGTGACTCATTGCATTTGCACTATAATTTCCCTAAGACATTATATTAGACACTATAGCATTCTTTTTATTTATTTATTTTTTCATGGGACATTATGTAGCTCACTTATGAATTACAAGAAACATATCATGGCAGTAACAGGAAGTCTGCATTCACTGTATGACACATGCAGGGGTTTTTTTTTTTTGTTAGCTTGTACTGTAGAGATGTTGCCTCCAAACTTAAACAGGATATTGAGTAGAGTCAGGGTTGAAGTGAGATTTGGCATGTGTGGGAACTGTGTGATCAGTTGTACTGGCTCAGCTTGGCGAAAAGAACTCACAGTTTCTACTTAAGTAACGAAAGTCGGTACTTTTGCCACCCTTTCGTATAACCCCTTTATAAATTCTGTTGACTATAGCCTATGTACTGATAGAGGCAACGATATTAGACATTTAAAAAATAATAATTTAAAAAACAGAATGCAAACACGCAGAAACTGTGATTTTTTTTAATTTTTTTTTTTAAACAAAACTTGAACTGTGCATAGGAAATCATCTAGTTGAAGAAACTGTTTTTGTTATTCTTATAAACATTTGGTGGGTTTTTTTTATGGGTTTTTTTGCATTTGCACCACTAAGTGTAAATCTAATATGTTTATGATAGATTTTTCATTTCAAAGCACTAGTCTAGGGTCCTTACCTACCTTACACACAAAACCATTAGGTAATTCCTCCGTAATCTGCAGGTTTGAGCAGATCGTTTTTGATGGCATGGCTCAAGCAGAAAGAAAACAATGTATACATGCTTTATTTTTCTAATGTACTATTGTATACTGAAAATATAAAATAGTATATTAGTATATGATATTGTAAGTTTAAAACTCCACAATAACACAACAAAGGTTCAGTATAACTGGCCTTCCTGGAAACTCACCAGGTTGTAAAAGAAAATAAAGAGACTCTGTGTCATGGGGTGTTTTTTCTTTTTTCCATGCCATTACCAGCAGTATGTAATCCAAAGATTTCTCATATGCACACTTTCATAATGTTGCTTGCTCTGCAAAACTATGAAACCTGCTCAGCAATGCAGACTGGAAGGAAAAGATAAAGAAATGAGGAGTGGCTCACAGTACAGTACTGAGAAGATGGCACTTTTGGCATCTGTTATTTAGGGTGTATATTTCTTTCACAATCTGGAGGCCTATATGACAATAAGAAATTTAATTTTGTCATTGCCTTCAATAGTACATATTTGCTCTTTTTAAAAATACACATTTTAGTAGATTTGTTAATGATATTATCTTCTTTGAAAACAAAGGAGGGTTTCCCTTCAGTTTTTTGTTCATAAAGCAATTAAAAAACAAAGTGTGAACATTAAAAAAAGATTTATTTGCTTTTCACCTTTTAGGCTCCGTACTTGCTTCCCTTCTTGATTGGCAGCAGTTATAGAAGACAATACTTGCAGTTACAGTAATACCTTGGTTTATGAGTATGATTCGTTCCTTAATGCTGCTTGCAAACCATAAATACTCATATGTCAAAGCAAATTTTCAAAAAAGAAATATTGGAAACTTGGATGGATGGTTCCAAGCTCCAAAAATATTCATGTAAAAATCACTTTTAAACATATTTTCTGTATAAATCATTGACCCAAATACATATTTCTGCAATAAATGCATAATGATTAACACAAAATGCATATAATAAAAATAAAAACGCACTTTACCTTTGAGAAAAGTCACTGCTGACCTGAGGGAAATGAGATGATGAGGTCAATGTAAAGAATACGCTTAACAGATGCTAGCTTTTCATGAGCTCATGCGGCATGACACTCAGGTTGGCTCAGCTGTTACTGGAAAACATACGTATACAGCCATAAGTTTGCTCGTATTAAGATTATGGCTCATAAACCAAGTAAAATTTTATTCAAGTTTTTTGCTCGTCTTGCAGATTACTCGTATGTCAAGTTACTCTGAATCCGAGGTTACACTGTAATGTGTAACTGGGCTCTTAAACCATATAATGCTCCAAATTTAAGGAATAAAGTATGTCAGTAAGAATTAAGCCATTTTTATTCTCAATGCCTGCCCCTGCCAGATGGTGGTGTGTGCTAAAAATGATGCTGCAATTTGTGGTGTGTGCTGTCATTTTGATAGTGATTTTTGCAACCTGGAGCATTGTGCAATGGGTTGATGACACGAGTATATGATTGCATCACTTATTACCATTTTAATCATATTCTAGTACAGAAGCCCTGAGCTATATAGATATACAGAGGGAGATATTGCAATCTTTTTTTTTTTTTTTTTTTTTTTTTTTTTTAAGTAACTTTCTGGAATAACTTTGCAACAAAAAAAAACACTTGCCAAAGTCTTATCTTCTGGTTTTGACTGCTTCTCTTCCTATATCAGTAGGAAGAGAATACCAATAGTGGTATTGTCTGAGTGGCAACACCTAACACTCAGTAGACTACTGCAGTGGCTACCTGCACCTTAACAGCGGGCATAATCAGAAATGACTGTGTAATGATGTTGCCAGAGCATGCAAAGCGACCAATGTGGAGGTTATAGCAACTCTTTCTGTGTATCATTGTCCAGGGCTTGGTGAGCGATATCTTTAATGGGAACTCTGCCCTTGTTAAGTTTATGTATTACATCTGTGGATGTCCTGCTATGGCTGTTTAAATTTTCTGCCATGATAAAGGTTTATATATATATATATATATATATATATATATTAGGATTATCAATCCCTCCATCCATCCATTCGCTTCCGCTTATCCTTTTCAGGGTCGCGGGGGGCGCTGGAGCCTATCCCAGCTGTCATAGGGCGAGAGGCAGGGTACACCCTGGACAGGTCGCCAGTCTGTCGCAGGGAGACAACCATTCACACTCACATTCACACCTAGTGGCAATTTGGATTATCCAATTAACCTATCCCCACAAGTTGCATGTCTTTGGACGGTGGGAGGAAGCCGGAGTACCCGGAGAGAACCCACGCAAACATGGGGAGAACATGCAAACTCCACACAGAAAGACCCCGGCCTGATGGTGGAATTGAACTCAGGACCGTCTTGCTGTGCGGCAACAGTGCTAACCACCGTGCCACCGTGCTGCCCTATTAGGATTATATATAACTTTATACCTGTGGTAATCATGGCAAAGTTTCTGAAGGCTGATGGCTTCTTGATCCGCTCAGATTCTAGTTACTGGTTCTCACAGCGGTAAGGTAAAACATTAACCTGCCATGACCATCCCACTTAAGATCCAACTCCACAGGGCTGAGGGAGAGGAAACATTGTTGCAATGGCAGATGAGTTTACATCAACTGAGTTGGCCATTTTTGCACCCATCCCAGACCAGTCTTAATGGCAGCTAGACCCCAATGGTCAGTCAGGCCAAGCTATGCTACAACTCATTATCAAGTGCTGCATAAACTTTGAGTCTGACTTGTCTGTAATCTGTGGGCTCGACCAGGATTTCTGTTGCTGAGCTTAGCAGGCTGGAATCCTCCCAAAAGTGGTGCATTGACAGAGTTAGTGATCATCTTTGTTGTAATAGGGACAAAAGACCTTAAATGACTACTTTCTTGGGATAAAGGAGGATTTACGTTGACAAAGTGGTCAGTTCTGCTGCCTGACAAAATTAAAGAAAGAGCTTTGCAAAACAAAATTTGGATGGGATGAAGTAATACTAGAAAGCAGGTTGAAACAGTGGAAAGGTTAGCTGAATGATTTACAGATGGACCATCTTTAAATGTGGCTGTGATAAAGTGTTATCATCCCTTATGATGAAAGAACAACCAATTCTAGCAAGTGGGTAATTTTCTCTCTGTAGGGACCTCTACTGGTGGAAAACCAGGTAACCAACCAGTAGAATTAATTCTAATGAAAGCAGTTACGTAACTTTCATTATCACTACAACTATAGCTGTCAGTTCACATATATTATCCTCAACATAGCTCTGCAATTTTGAATGCTTTTAAACCATCACCAAGATTTTGGTGTTATGTTACAATGTGTTGCATGAAGCTTGATAACACAAGTAGAAGTTTTATTCCTCATGTTGGCGTTTAAGTTGCTAGTGCTGGGTTGAACTCTCGGTCACCCTCAGAGTTGCTTTCATTCTCATGGTAGACTCAACAGGGAAACATTTCTCAGTGAATCTGGTGCATGTGATATTATGACTGGACATGATAGTAAATAAGTAAAACTTTATTTGTATAGTACAATTTAAGATATAAAATCAGTGCTTCACAACAGCCAACAGTTAATTTAAAAAATAATTTAAAAAAACCCAAGAGAAATTAATAGAAAGCAGATTTAAAGCATGACAGAGTTGCTGCTGCAGTTGTGTGGAACCTGGTGTGGTTTTCTGTTGCTGTTAGCTCCTCTGTTTCAAGGTGTGATGTGTTGTGTGTTCACGTTGAAATGAGAAACTTTCAAAAATACAGATTTACAAATAATGTTGCTACAGTAAAAGCTTTAATTTTTTAACTCTTTCCTTCACCTGAATTGTTTCCATTAGGAATTTAAGGTGAACTTGTTCAACAAATACAGATACAGTCACACAAGCAGATATTAAAATAACATAATTTTACTGAACTGATAAGAAAATGAGCTGTAGGTAGCGCAAAATCCTGATATGAGGAAAGGAACAGAAAGGACCTACAGCCCACCAAAAAAAAAAAAAAAAAAAAAAAGATGCGGAAGGGGGAGTGACGGTTGTATAGAAGCACAGGGCTGACTCTGGGCGCAGGTCCAAGAATTAGGAAATGGGGAAAGTCACACTGCCAAGGAGGAAATACAAGGAGAACAAACAAGGTGAGGAATGATTTTGAGAACAGGCAACGACGAAAGTCGAGTAAAAAAAGAACAAAAAACATGCGGATAGTATTTGAGGAGCAAGATTTAAGAAGCTCATAAACATTTACAGTATTACTACTATTTCATTTAGATTGTTACTTTCTTTAGATATTTATGTTCACTTTTTTCTTTTTAATTGGGTTCTTTTTCTTTCTAATAAAGGCGTATAGGGCAAACCGTTTTATTCGATTTTTCCCGAATGATTTCCGCTAGTATTCTGACGTATGACAATGACTTGGTCACGCCCAGACAGCAAAATCAAGTAGAAAAATAGCAGCAGAGGAGAAGGCTCCGAGTGCACTTGCAGACGCACGGATTCTATTTCTCAACTGGTGTGGACAAACGGGGAACATACTGGCCACACTTCAGCCTCGAGTGAGTTACCTGCGGAATGGTAGTGGCTTTAAGCTGATGTTTGAATTAATACAAATATTCTAATTCGACCACTAATAGTGTTTATTGTCTATTCGAGGAGACTAAATAGCGCTTCTTGTGTCCTAGCGTTTGTACCATACACACATTAGTGACTTCGTTGTATTTTATGGCGTTATTTTTGTGCCACTATGCTGAGCTCACATAAAGAAATTTTGAGCGCACGTAAAAAGTGTTGTTGTGCAGGTGCAAGTGTTGTATTTTGAGAAAAGCTGCATCTGAGGGAACAAAATTCATTGTTGCGTGCAAAAAATGTATTTCCGTGTTTGCTATTATCCATACACACAGACAATAGTGATGGGATTTCCGGGTCTTTTTAGAGAACCGGCTATTTCGGGTCGACTCACTAAAAAGACCCGGCTCTTTTGGCTCCGAACCGCCTCTTCAGGTTGTTTTGTTGCCTTAATTAATTTATTATTAACAATAATATAAAATTATGCACAAAAGAAACTACTAATGTAAAAAAAAGTGGTTTTATTTATATATAAATATATGTGGTGGCCCCTAGAGACAAAATATGTACAAACTCCAAAAAGCACGGACAAACTCCAAAACACATTTCTAGCTTTAACTGAACTTCCAAAACAGAGCTACCTAGATCACTTAAATTACACAATTAAAAGCATATGTGTATTGTTTGTGTATTTATACACAAGCACTCATATATATTTAAATAATTTAAACAAATGTTCATTTACCTGTTACTACCACACACCAAATCCGGTCGTTGGTACTTGCTGGCTTGTGTAGCCACTAGGTAACAAAAGCTCAACACTGCGCCTAGCATCCTGGAGCACTTCTGTTGTGTTTTGTACGTGTTTTGAGTTTTTATGTGCTTCTGAGTTTTTACGGTTTTTGGAGTTTGTACGTGCTTCAGAGTTCGTACGTGATTTGAAGTTTGTATGTGCTTTGTCTGTAGGGGCCACCGTAAATATACTTTTATTTATTCACTCCACATAAAATGTAATAAATAAATCATATAATACAAAAACCAACTATTCACATTTCAACTTTTAACTATTTAAATTTTCAGCTTTTTCCTTTTAAACAAATTTAAAGTGAAACAACACAAAACACTGCAAACCACAACACAATTAAATATAAATTAAAATATGAAAACAAAAAGAAGATGCATATTCTCTGTCATATGGGCCTGCATGAATAAACTTTCTGAATCCTTTATCATCCGCAACTGAAAATAGTTGTGGATGATTACTATACCTTTCTAATGTGACGTTGTTCACGTCAAAGATCCGGCTCTAAGAGCTTTGTTCGCTATTATCACCACACACACACACACAATAGCAGCCCCTCTCGCTCAGTTTTTGCATTTGCGCTCGCTCGCAATGTGTTGCTCGCTCTCAACATTTCTGCCCGTGCGCGCTCAACTCTTTCTGTACACCGTTATATTTGTGCCACAAAACCAGCCAATCACAGACTTGGATGCAAAAAAATCTGATTGGCTGTTTTGGTCTCCAATCAGCTCGAAATGACGAAATGCAATATCCCAGAATCCATTTCGTCCAAAACTCAAACGAGGCAGTGGCGGAGGAACACAGAGGGCGGAGTTTGAAATATTACTCTTTCTGGGTCACAAAATAAACTTTTAAGATATTTTCATGCAAGAATGGTGCTGTGTAAACTTCAAATACCTGCTCGATTTATCAAGGCATGACATATTTGCATAACTGCTGTATCACCTTCGTGTTTCCAAACCATATCATTAGCAGCAGCTTTTACAGCTGTGGCTCCAGCAAACATCAGCTGATACTAGAAATTAATTTTAAATAAATTCTAACAACAGCAGTCAAGAACTTCAATATTTGCATAGTATTTTTACTGACATGTAGAGCACATATGTTTTGGGCAAAAACATTTTTGAATATTAAAATACGAACATTTTTAACATACAATTGGCAAATTAGCCAATGCCAATGCAAAACCAATGCCTGTTAAAAAAAGAAGATAATCTTCTCACAAACTGGTGTTTGATTTTGAAACAGGAAAAAAGTGGGGAAACAACTGAAAAGACTAACATTTGAATAAAACCTGAAAGCAAGTAAATACTTTATATGCTGCCTTATGGTAAACTTTGGTAATATTGATGTATAAAGAACAACACTGGCTGATGATGAAATACAGTCAGCTGGCATGGTGACACTGCCAGTATTAACCTGCAGGGCTGGACTGGGACAAAAAATTGGGCATTTTCACTACAGACCGGCCCACCAGGTATTAAAGCCATAAAGCCTTTGAATGAAAACAAATGCTGTTGTGACAGTGATGTACACTGTCTTTTTGGTATATGTATGATTTCTATACATTTTACGTCAGATAAAAACTTTGTTCGCAAGATTCAGATAATTATTTAATAAAAGCTAAATATTTGAATTGAGAATAAAAAAGAAAAGTATTTCTTTGTGCCCCCCTCTCCCTGTTAATGCCCTACCTGGCCCCCTGGCAACACTTTGCTAGACCCGCCCCTGCACAGTTACCAGCTGTCAGCTACTTAGAAAAGGATCCTGGTGTTATTTGTCTCTCAGAAACAGTTCATAACTTCCCTTCAACTCATTCATGTCACCTAAAAGGTAAACCTGTTTCTATATCAGTGGTTAGAAATACCATTATTACTTTAGGATTGGTTTAACACAAAGTCAGGGCTGACCCGGGACCATGGCTGTGAGTCACAGTGCGCAGCCAGTGGCGTGTCCAGCGGGGTGGCCTGGGGGGGCACAGGCCACCCCCCCAACCAGACTGGCCACCCCAGGTGCCACCCTGAAGCTAAAACAATAAAATTGTAAGGACATCTCCTGGTTTCATCTTCACGTTTCCCTCTCACCACATATCCAAACTGACATCATGACCAGCAGCTTTACAGCTGTGGCTCCAGCAAACATCAGCTGATACTAGAAATTAATATTAAATAAATTCTAACAACAGCTGATCAAGCTTAAACGTGCTGCTGTTGTTTAGCGCGACATCCGCTGGTTTCCTCTTTCTGGCGCAAAGTGGGCGATAAACAAACAAGAGAGACGATCAGCTGATCATTGATCAGTTTCATGATTGAAGTAGCAACAGGAAGAGGGAGGGTAAAGACAGAATAACTCCAGCTTTGTGTCTTTTTCCATTCTAGCTAAAGTACGGGACAAACTGCGTCTCTTCTCAGCTCAATACGAAACGCGTAATATTTTCTCTGAATGAGGGACCATTCCATTTTTTAAGGAGCTGTTGGCAACTCTACTAACTAACCTTATGAATAAAATAAAGTTCACTATCAGTAACATCATAGCAACCGAACAGCTGTATAGAAACTCGTCATGCTAGCTCACGCAGTATGAGGTATTGTAACTGACTGTAAAAAGTCAGCACAACGAAAATAAACTGCACCTAAACTTGGTTTATATCTGACCCAGATAGACTGCAGGTCATAACTTCTTACCTGAAGTTCAGTTCACCTGACACTCGGACCGGCGGCCGCCTCGGGTCTCTCCTCCTGCCTCACCTTCCCTCATCCACCTGTTGCCTCTGTGGAAGCTCCGCCATAGCCACCACCAAACAACTGAGTTATTTTTACACATCGGCCAGCATCTGGCCAATCCACCACCTCTTCATTGTTCATGCCGTTACAAAAAAAAAAAATAAGGCAAAAATATCCACAGCAAGCCTTAGGGGTTTTTTTGCTAAGTCCACACACAAATCTTTTTTACACACACAAATCTTTTTACCACCAATTTTACACACACAAATCTTTTTTACACACACAAATCTTTTTTAACAAATCTTACACACACAAATCTTTTTTACACACTACAAATCTTTTTTACACACACACAAATCTTTTTTAACACACACAAATCTTTTTTACACACACAAATCTTTTTTACACACACACAAATCTTTTTTACACACACACAAATTCTTTTTACACACACAAATCTTTTTTACACACAGCACCATTCTCGCATGAAAATATCTTAAAAGTTAATTTTGTTACCCAGAAAGAGTAATATTTCAAACTCCACCACTCTGTGTTCCTCCGCCACTGCCTCTTTGAGTTTTGGACGAAATGAATTCTGGGATATTGCATTTCGTCATTTCGAGCTGATTGGAGACCAGAACAGCCAATCAGATTTTTTGACATCCAAGTCTATGATTGGCTGGTTTTGTGGCATAAATATAACGGTGTACAGAAAGAGTTGAGCGCGCACAGGCAGAAATGTTAAGAATGCGAGCAACACATTGCGAGCGAACGCAAATGCAAAAACTGAGTGAGAGGGGCTGCTATTGTGTGTGTGTATGGATAATAGCAAACACTGAAATACATTTTTTGCACGCAGCAATTAATTTTGTTCAATCAGTTTTTGTTCGCTCAAAATAAATTTCTCCTCAAAATACAACTTGCACCTGCAAACTTGTTTTACCTGCGCTCAATTTTTTTTTTTTTATGTGTGCTCAGAATAGTGGCACAAAAATAATGCCATACTCTCCCTCCCTTGTCTTTCCTGCTTGGCTTCTCATGTCTTTTGGGTTTTTTTTTTTTTTTTATGATTTTATGGCTGGCCGACATGATAGACAATGGCAGGGCTGTGAGTACTCAGACTGATTTTGAGATCAGTTCTTCAGCAACAACAGTTCAACAACAATGGATTAAATACAGTTCTGTGTGAAGTTGAAGCAATTGTAATTGATCAACCCATAACAAAGCTGTCTGATGATCCAAAAGACCTAGAGTCATTTACTCCAAATCACATCCTCCTGATACGTGAATACTTGCCTTTGTTACACAAGAGACAAAAAGACAACCAAAAGAGGAAAAATCTAAAACCAGGGTATATAGTTATTTTAATGGGTTCTTCTGTCCCCCGAGATTCTTGGCCCCTTAGACGTGTTCGTGAAACCATTCATGATAAAAATGGACTTTAAAGACAAAGACCAACATTCTT